CTCGGAGCGCCCGGAGGCCTGCAGCCGGGCCGGGCGACCGTGCAGTTCGCGTCGGAGATGAGCTTCTGGGGCGGCTGCTGCGGGGGCGCAGGGGGGGTGCGCGGGGACGCGGGGTAGGGGCCGCAGCCGCAGAGGGGAGACGGTGGGGCCGGGGAGGAGAGGGCTCCGCAGCCGGTGCCCAGACGGGGGAGGCTGGAGGTCTGTGCTAGTGACGTGGGGGCTGCAGAACGGCGGCCGCCCCTGCGGCCTGAGCCCTGGGGACCGTGGTGCCCTCAGTTCTGGGCACTTGGGGTCGGAGGGCTGAACGACCTAGGTGGAGGGGCCCAAGAGGCGTGGGATGCGGGGGCATCTGGGGCAGAGTGGGGCTCCGGGTAAGAGGTACAGGCTTCTGCGCATCCGGGTGGCCTCGGTCTTGGGGAGCGAGTGGGGCCACATTCCCCCTGGTGCGAATGGCAAGGGCAGCCTCGGTCTCTCCTCTTCTGGAACCAACCAAATGTGTGAAGAGGTCAGCACTGAGGTCTGTGTGTGCGTGCGTCCCCGTGCCTGTTGTTTCTTGTAAAGGTGTGAAAAATGGTTGTAAACCAAAAGACGACTTGAAAATCCTTTTCGGAGATTGTGATGGGCTGCCGGGCTGTAAGGAAGCCCTGGACGGGGACTTGGGGACTTGGGGACTTAGGGACTCCCGGGTTCCGGACCCGGCTTCACCCCGTAGTGGCTGTGTGATTTGGGGCAAGTCACTTAACCTCTCTGAGCCTCAGTTTGTTCCAAGATGAAGTGAGACACTAATCAATGTCTCCGTGCCAAGTGAAGTCACACACGGATATTCCTAGGAGGCAGCAAAGGAAAGACCAATGAGGTAACCACATTAAAAAGAATTAAGCACAGGGGCGCTTGGATGGCTCAGTCGGTTGACCTTGGGACTCTGGATTTTGGCTCTGGTCATGATCCCAGGGCTTGGGATCCAGCCCCGCTTTGGGCTCTGCTCAGAGCATGCAGGCTGCTTAAGAGTCTGTCTCTCCCTCTGCCCCTCTGCCCCTCTCCCCCACTCTCTCGCTCTGTCTCTAAAAATAAAATAATTTTTAAACATAGGGAAAAAATGTTTTAAAAAAATTAAGCACATCAAAAATGCTACGAAAATATCTGAAAGAAAATTGGAGCACTGTTTATCTAAAAGTAAGTTTTTGTCATGTACAAAGTGCTCTTACGAATTACTAGGATATTTGCAAACAACCGAACAGACAAAACGAATGCATCAGATGGGAACAGATACTCTGCAGAAAAATTAACAGGGCTAAGAAGGTAGTGAAAAGTTGCAGGACCTCCCTCATAGGGAATCCGTCACTAAAACATTAAAACAAGCGTCCACTTTCACACCTATCAGCCGGGCAGATAAAAAGGTCTGTTAATTCCGGGTAGGAGAGTATGTTTTAATACACTGCGGGCAGGAGTCTAAATTTATGTATCCTTCTGGGAGGAGAACAACCTATCAAAATGTGTTTACTTGTGCTTTGACCCAGAAACTCCTGCACAAAGCCAAAGATTGATCATGCAACCGGAAACAAATCCGTTTGTTGGCGGAGTAAAGAAAGTTACAGGGTATTCATTGAGTGGACTATTAGGTAGTCGTTAAAACAGTGAGACACAGAGGAAGGGGAGCCCGGCTGGGACAGGAAATATTCTCTGGAGCACAGGCAGCAGGCTGGAAACGGTTGATGGGAAGTCGGCTGTTCTAGCCAAGAGCAATTTATTCGCTACGAAGGAAAAAAATGGTGTTGAGAACTCAGTTTATGAGGGCTGATGGGGGGTGGGAGGGAGGGGAGGGTGGGTGATGGGTGTTGAAGAGGGCGTCTTTTGGGATGAGCACTGGGTGTTGTATGGAAACCAGTTTGACAATAAATTTCATATATTTTAAAAAAAACTCAGTTTAAGAATTGGCTTAGTATTATTTAAATTCTTAACTCTCCCCTATGAATGTTTTATATGTGCAATGTGCACTGACAGGGAATATATATATATACATATATATATATATGTATATATATATATTTTTTTTTTGTCAAAAATATATATTAAAAGACAAGGGTATTGAGTCAGTGCGCAGCTGAGATTGCCTGGATTCAGATCCCAGCATCGCCACGTAACTAGCTGTGACCCTGGCAAGTCACTGACCCTTGCAGACTTTAGCGTCCTCATTGGGAAAATGAGAAAAATCATAGCGCTACCTCCTGGGGTTGACATAGGAGCCGAAGGTTTTAACGGATGGGTTGGCAGTCGGAATGGTGGCTGGCGTACCATGAATGTTCATATGTAACATATCATATGCGTCTTGAGTGAGAAAAAAGAAATAACTAGAGATGTTTGTGTATGTTTATACATCGATGTGTTTAGAAGATTGGCTTCTAGAAAGATACAAACTGCGAGCAGGAGGGCGTGATGCCAAAGGCCGTTACTCTTTTTATTTTGTATCCTCATACACTGTGTTTAATTATTCTAATTACTAACATGTAAGACTTTTTAAATTAATGAAAGCCTCCTTGACAAATTCAGTGTAGACTGTCTGTAAAGCTGCAGCTCAAGACCTTGTCAGCTGGGACCTGTCAGAGATTTTTTGTTTGGGGATAAAACACAGTGAAAGCATAGCTCGGGGAAAGTCAGTCTTTCTGTAGAAAGTGATTTTCTTTTCTTTTTTTTTAATGTTTATTTACTTTTGAGAAACAGAACATGAGTGGGGGAGGGGCAGAGAGAGAAGGAGGCACAGAATCCGAAGCAGGTTCCAGGCTCTGAGCCATCAGCACAGAGCCTGATGCGGGGCTGAAACCCACGAGCTGTGAGATCATGACCTGAGTCAAAATCAAGAGTCAGACGCTCAACCAACAGAGCCACCAAGGTGCCCCCATAAGGTTACAGGTTCTTTTTTTTTTTTTTTAATTTCTTTTAATGTTACTTTATGTTTGAGACAGAGCATGAGTGGGGGAGGGCAGAGAGAGAGGGAGACAGAATCAGAAGCGGGCTCCAGGCTCCAAGCTGCCAGCCCAGAGTCCGACGCGGGGCTGGAACCCACGAACCATGAGATCACGACCTGAGCCGAAGTCAGATGCTTAGCCGACTGAGCCACCCAGGCGCCTGGAAAGTGACTTTAAAGTAGACATCAAACACTTAAGAGACTTATTCTTATATAAATGGAACGTGGTTTTTTTTTTTTTTAAAAAGAGTTAACACTGTAAGAGTGTTTAATGTTTGCTCCCAGAAAACAAGAAGCCCGGAGACCTGTGGAGGTTGTGGGGGCCGGGCAGGGGCGGGGGTCGACCCACAGGACTAGCCGCTCACAGGGCCTGGGGCTGACGTTCAGAGCTGATGGGAAGGAGGATGGAGCCCCTCTGCCGTCCCCACTGATCAGAGCCCCTGCCACCACGTCCTCAGGCCTCTGAGTAACCCAGCTGTGAGAGCAGATCGTGCTGGAATCCTAGTTGAATATTAAATCAGTGTAGATGGCGGGGTTGGGGGAGCCCGGCGGCCTCCACCCCACCCCAGCTCCAGACCGCGGAGGGGTGGACCCCTGTGTGCACACCCTCCAGCCCTAAGAGCTCCTGAATGGGGTATTTGCTTTCTACTTGGACGATGGCGAGGGATCGGGTGTGCATTTCTGACGTTCATTCCGGCAGGTGCTGTCCCCACAGGCGAGTTTTCACCTGTAAGCACGCATATGCTTGTTCTTAGCCGCAGCTGGTTGTTTTCGGCGGGTCCTACTTGCCACTGTCCCGAGCACCTGCTCTGCGTGGTGCCTTTGAGCCCTCACAGCATTAGGAGATGCTGACTACCGTCCCATTGCACAGGTTGAGAAACTGAGCATCCCCTAGGGTGTCCATGGCCCCGTAGCTAGTAAGGGGCAGAGCTGTGGCACACTCCCAGGCTCTGTTTACTTAACAAGCTTTACCGCCTCCGGCTTCCTGTGAGGAAACGCAGTGTTTACCTCGAAACGGGCAAAGAGTAAAATCCAAACCGCGGCAATCCTGAAGAGGGAAAACACGCAAACACGTCCACGGAGTCGCCGGAAAACAGGAGGGCCACCCGAGCCTACAGAAGTCAGTCTTTTCGAGATGCACAGAAACTGCTCTCTAAATACTCTGGCCTTCGCGAATTGGGAGACAGGAGCAGTGACCGAGGGAGGCGCCTTTAGGGGCCTAAGACATTTGCCAGACTGTTCCCATCAAGAGGAATTCACGCACCTCGATTTAGTGGATACTGTTGTCCCGATCTCTGAGACCTGAGAGGAGTTTGTTGCATAGACATGGTTAGGAGAGATTTTTTTTTTTTTTAACGTTTTATTTATTTTTGAGACAGAGAGAGACAAAGCATGAACGGGGGAGGGTCAGAGAGAGAGGGAGACACAGAATCTGAAACAGGCTTCAGGCTCTGAGCTGTCAGCACAGAGCCCGACGCGGGGCTCGAACCCATGGACCGCGAGATCATGACCTGGGCCGAAGTCGGCCGCTTAACCGACTGAGCCACCCAGGCACCCCAGGAGAGATTTTTAATAACGGTGTGGACCATGTCCTCAGTGATAGTTTTACTGGAGGGTGGATGTGAATCGCCCCCTGCCCCCCACCGCCCGCAGGGACCGTCCCTGAAAGCCCAAGCAGTGCTGTGAAGGGTCAGTTACGAGAAGGTGTTTTGGTAGCGTGGACTGGGGCTTTCTGCTTGCTGCGGCTCAGGTAAGGGCCAGAGCTGGTGGCCTCTGACAACAGAAGACCGAGCAAAAGGCGGACAGGCTGTCCGTTCGCAGATGAGAAAATGCGAGCAACCAGTCAACACAGGGAAAGAGGCTAACAACCAGAGAAGTGCGGATTAATTCAAATAACTTGGAATTTGGGGCTCCCGGGCAGCTCGGTCGGTTAAGCATTCGACTTCCGCTCAGGTCACGATCTCGCGGTTTGTGAGTCCGACCCCCCGCGTCGGGTTCTGTGCGGACGGCTCGGAGCCTGGAGCCTGCTTCGGATTCGGTGTCTCCCT